AAAATAAGCAGGTGTCAATAACAATTGTTTACAAAAGATATATGTCGGCAATATTTGTTCTTTGAGAAGCAGCGTCTTTTGTTTCAAAGACAGGAAATGCACCAACATTGATTAAAAAAAATTAATAAAGGGAATACACAAGATCTCTCATGTTTTGATAACATTAATCATAGCATTTGCCTGAAAATTCAAAGATAAGTTTGGAAATGGAAATTAAAAGAAACATGCGATAGTTAAACATGTGGTTCATTTTAATTCTTTAATATAATGAAAAATTAAATATTTTAGTGAAATCTATTTAGATCTATTTAAATCTATTTAGTGAAATCCACTGTTCCATCTGTCCTTGAGGAGACATGGCACAGTGGATAAAGGCGTTGGTTAGGTCCAGTGACAGGACCCAAAGAGTGGGAGTTCAATACCTGGTTAAAGTGGTGGAGAACTTGGAGAGGGGAATTTACAGGAGATAACTGATAACTGACATCCATTAGACATGGCATGTGGAACTAGAACAGTCTACCCCAGTTAGTGAAATAAAGGGGTCATTTGACATTCCAACCACTTGAAGAAGGCTGGAGCATCCAATGGCTGAAACCTTGTGATAAATATGGAAACAAAGATGAAGACAATAGTCCAAATAATGTAAATATTTTCTAGATTGTGTTGTAACAGCAAAATGTGTAACAGAAACCCAAAGATACATAGAAATAGTAAAAGTAAATTTCTAGTGTAGATAATGAGGAAAGAGAGCTTGAAAAATTTGATACTCACAGGTTAGATTGAAGGCAAAAAGGAAAAAGAAAGTAAGGCAAGAGAGAAAAATAAGGCATAACCTACCTAGTGACCTTGAGTAAATGGATGGCGAAGCAAAGTTTAGGAGAGATAACAAAAAGACAAAATTTATTTAAGAGCTACAAAGTGCAGGAAGTTGGGGAGAACCATGATTGACACTGTCTTGAATGGAAATGGTACAAAGAAGAAGAATTTGAGCATAAGAAAATATATGCACACAGACAAGTCCATATATATATACATATAATTATGCAAATATACAGTCAGTTTTGGTAACTTGAGATAGAAAAAGAAAATACCTGTAAAGAGAAAGGTTTTCAATCACAGATTGTGGATATTGATTTTATTGATCATCTATCCAAAAACCAGTGTGACTGTGTTTTGGTGGGTGTAAATGTTTTTTAGAGCTCAAAATATCTTGAGTTGTACAAAAACAGTTTAGTCTAACTTAAACAGTTATAAAATACTTTTTTCTTCAAGGAAGTATTGGATTATTCAAACAATTTCTGCTAAAGTTGGAAACATTTTTTAAAGGTGATCTATTTTTGAGTTGCTTTAAATATTGTTCTTAAAAAAACCATTTAATATTCATTGCATATTTGTAAAAATTTCTTAAGAATGAACCATTTATGAAATAAGAAACTTTCTTTTTTTAAAATTTTCAAACATTATAGCTTTATAAGGATTTAATGTTGATATGGTTTGAAAAGAAACAATATTATTAACACATACACTGTTGCATAATTATAGTATTGTTATAAATAAATAAAATACAAGTATATAAAATATAAGTGCATAAAATATACATATAACAAGTATATAAAACATACATATATAATAAGCATATAAAATATAAGTATACAAAAGTATACAAAACTTATATAAGTATTTATATCCTTTTATAATATATTTATTATATTTATGATTATTATATATTTATTATATGATTACATCAGGTCATCCCATAAGATCTGTCCGAATTTTAACTTTTTGTTAAAATGAACGAAATTTAAAGAGTATTTTATAATGTTAAATAGAGTTGAACATTATTTTTATGTTTAGATGCATTTAAGCTGATCAAATTTTATTTCAGAGAACAATAAAATTAAATTTTGTTTGATTAAATCCCTGCTAACATGGAAGTATGAATCATTTGAGGCACATAATGCTTTATGAGTTCAAGAAAGGAAACTCAGCAGCCAAAGCGGCTAGAAACATTCACTCAGTTTATGGAGAGGAATGTGTGAATGAAAGAACTTGCAGAAGATGGTTTGCAAAATTCAGAGGTGGAGATTTCACCCTTGAAGATGAAGATTGAACCGGACGTCCAGTTGAGTTTGATGAAAAGCTTCTTGAAGCAGCCCTTGAAGAAAATCCTGCTTTATCAGTTGAGGAATTGGCAGTGATTCTCAGTTCAAACCATATAACTGTTCATCGTCATCTTCAACAACTTGGAAAAGTTCCTAAACTTGGAAAATGGGTGCCTCATGAATTGTCTGAAAACAACCTCAATTCCCGAGTTGACATTTGCTCTTCTCTCCATTCTTGCCAACTTGTTTCACCTTTTTTGGATAGACTTGTGACTGGTGACGAAAAATGGATCTTTTATCGAAATGTTAAGCGTCGTAGACAGCAGCTTGGTAAAGGGGAAGGACCCCAGCCACAGCTGAGAAGGGAACTTCATGGGCAAAAGGTTCTTCTTTCAATCTGGTGGGATCACCAAGGAATAGCCCACTTTGAATTCTTACCACCTAATGCAACAATTAATGCTCAAATATACTGTCATAAATTAGAGCATTTGAACCAAGCTTTGAGGAAAAAAGACCTGCTCTAGTGAATCAAAAAGAGGTGATGTTTCATCAGGACAATGCGCGACCCCACACAGCAAGAATCACGTCACAAAAGATTGAAGAACTTGGTTGGGAGAAAATTCCTCATCCACCTTATTCTCCCGATCTTGCTCCTTCAGACTACCATTTGTTTCGTAGCTTACAGAATCATTTGGAAGAAACAGTTTTTGTAACACAGGAAGAGGTTAAAACTGACATTTGTAAGTTCTTCGAATCAAAGCCAAAAGAATTTTACAGTAATGGAGTTAGTAAGCTTGTTAATAGATGGAAGGAAGTCATAGATAATCAGGGAAAATACATTGCTGATTGAATCTGTAATTAAATGTAACATTTGGTCACTTGTTTTCTTTATTCAAAATTCAGACAGAACTTATGGGATGACCTGATATATTATATGACTATTAATGTTAATTATATTTTATTATATTTATAATGTTATATTTATATGTTTTATAATACATTAATGGCATATTATATCCTTATATAAGTGTATATAAGTATACAAAAGAATAGTATATAAAATATATAAGTATGTACATATAAAATTAGTATATAAAATATATATATATATATATATAAAATATGAATATAAGTAAAATATAGTATTGTTGTCTGGCTATGCTGGCCCATTTTGGTAAAAATAGGAAATTGCTATTATTTACCAAAAAAGAATGATTGTATTTTTTAGTGCACCCATGTCGCTACCAAATATGACATGAGGTTGAAGTTTAGAGTGAGTTTACCAGCAATACAATTGACAGCAAATTCTCATATGGGCTGCTTTTAAGACAAAGCTAGATGCCCCCCCCACAACTCAATATAATAAAAATACATAAAAAAAACAGGTTGTATTGTACACTACTATACGTCTGCATTGGTTTTGAAATAGCACTCAGTGCTGGTTAATATTTAGCCCAAAAGATAACGTTTATCTACAACAACAGGAGGCAATATATGTTTTGTAAAGATTAACTGCATCATTGTTTTGTATGAACGTCTATTTCTGAGATGAGGTATTATGTACACTATTTACATTATTCGAACTATTGTCCTCATCTTTGTTGCCATATTTATTACAACGTTTCGGCCATTGTACGCTCCGGCTTTCTTCAGGTGGTTGGAATGTCGAACTGAACCCTTTATTTTGCTCACTGGGGTAGACTGTTCTAGTTCCACGTGCCATGATTAATGGATGTTAGTTATTAGTTATCTCCTATTAATTCCCCTCTCCAAGTTCTCCACTGCCTTAACTGGGTATTGAACTCACACTCTTTGGGTTTTGTCACTGGATCTAACCAACGCCTTTATCCACTGTGTCATGTGTCCTTAAGCGTACAACAACCGAAATGTTGTAAAATAATATGGCAACAAAGATGAGGAGAATAGTCTGAATAATGGAAATAATGTACATAATACCTCATCTCAGAAATATAGACAGATACTGATAGGCCGAAACGTTGTAATAAATATGGCAACAAAGATGAGGACAACAGTCCGAATAATGTAAATAATGTACATAATACCTCATCTCAGAAATATAGACAGATACTGAAGGACCGAAACCTTGTAATAAATATGGCAACAAAGATGAGGACAATAGTCCGAATAATGTAAATAATGTACATAATACCTCATCTTAGAAATATAGACAGATACTGAAGGACCGAAACGTTGTAATGAATATGGCGACAAAGATGAGGACAGCCGTCCGAATAATGTAAATAATGTATATAATACCTCATCTCGGAAATATAGACAGATACTGAAAGGCTGAAACATTGTAATAAATATGGCGACAAAGATGAGGACAATAGTCTGAATAATGTAAATAGTGTACATAATACCTCATCTCAGAGATATAGACAGATACTGAAAGGCCGAAACGTTGTAATAAATATGGCGACAAAGAGGAAGACAATAGTCTGAATAATGTAAATAGTGTACATAATACCTCATCTCAGAAATATAGACATATAGTCTGCACTGCTTTCAAAATAGCACTCAGTGCTGGTTAATATTTAGCCCAAAAGATAATGTTTTTCTACAACAACAGGAAGCAATGTATGTTTTGTAAAGATTAACTGCTTCATTGTTTTGTATGACTTATCAACCCTTTGCAGATTATTTAAAGCCAAAAAATATATTTAGATTGCAAAAATATTTTGAAAATAATATTGATTCAGTGATAAATGTTTTACTAATTAACCCATAGCAGGGGGAGAAGAATTGGATTCATACCTTTCCCAAAGGTATTTGCATGCAAGTTAATATAACAACTCCAAATGAAACTGAAACTTGTCTCTCTGAGTTCCAATTCCAAGCCATTATAATTATCAAATCATCCATGCATCCAAGCTAACAGAACCTGGTATTTCCAAGTGATCACCCATCTAGGTACTGACCAGGCTTAACATTGCTTAACTTCAATGATCGAATGAGAACCAGTGATTAACTTTGGTGATCATATGAGAATTAGTATTTCAATATGATATGGCTGTAAGCTGTTTTGTAAAGACACGTCTTAAAAATGATTCTTTTAGCCATTTATCAAGGGAGATTTTTATTTTTTTATTTTTAACTGAATGTGTGTTTTTTTTATGTATGAGTCTGAAGTTATGTGAATGTTTTATTTTTCAAACATGGTCAGCACATTGTGTTCATGTTTGTAATTAATGTGACTGAGTGTTGGCTTTTCCTTTTTTATTATTAGGGCTCATCAATATATATGCTCGTTAAAAATTTATTTCGGTTGAAATCTCTGGGAAGGAAGTGTGATTTTGCAAACAGTGACTATTACTGCTAATAATGCATGACTCTTCGGTAGATCGAATCGAGTTCTCTCAGTCACTGTGCGTTTATCTAAAAATAAATACACTTAAATTCACCTTCTTCTCTTCCGCACGCCAACAGCTTAGTGGATAAAATCTCTGACTGATGACAATTCAGCCAAGTTTCGATCCTAGCTAGAGGCAACCGGATGTCTAGCCACACTGATGTGCTGTGATACAGCGAAACAGTTTGTCTGTGGATGACAAAATATATATATATATATATATATATATATATATATCGACTCTCCCATCGAGATTCGATGTATGAGGGTCAAGCAGATCAGTTTCCAGGAAACCGACAGCCCGACACCAGCACATGAGATTTGATTATAGTGGTGAAGGCCTCGTGCAGGATCATCCACACTTTTTGAAGGGACAAGTACAGAGACCTGATGCACCGAATGCCACAAGGTTCTCAAACGACCCTCCGCAGGTTTTGAATTCAGAGTTGTCCTTCTCCTAGACCAGTTGCCATCCAAGGCTATAGAACCCAGTCTGTCCTGCTATTTTACCCATAGCTGGAGGGAGAGGATTCATACCTTTCCCAAGGGTATTAGCACGTAAGTGAATGTAATGGATTCGATTGGAATTTGAACTTGGCTCTGCGATTCCTCAATCCAAGCCGCTATCCATTACTCCACCGTGCCTCCTCATATATATATATATATATATATATAATCATCCACAGATAGACTGTTTTAATGTATCATAGCTCATCAGTGTGACTAGACATCCGATTGCCTCAAGCGAGGATTAAAACCTGACTGATTTGGCATGAGGTGGAGATTTTTCCTCTATGCTATCAGTTCCTGACAGAGAGGAAGGTGAATTTTTATGTATTTATTTTTTAATAAATATGACAGTGACTCCAAGTGCTCAATTCATAGAGGAGCTTTAAATTATCAGCAGCAGCAGTCACTGTTTATAAATTCGCGTTTTCCCTCTTATGTGCTCAACTGAATTTCTATTTTTTTCGGGGGCAGACATATTTTTATCCACAGACAGACTGTTTTGCTGTATCACAGCTAATCAGTGTTGCTAGACTTCCGATTGCCTCAAGCCAGGAAAATCAAGAAATATAAAAAAAATCATTGTATCCGTCAACACAACAATATTTCTACATGTGAAAATATTCTTGTTAAACATAAAGTAATTGACGTAAATTTTCATTTGACCATATGAATATACAACAGTATTTCTAAATTCTTCTAGTTGCTAGCAACATTTTGTTTGTTGTTTATAGATACTTTGTTTCAATAAATTCATTTAATTTTTTTTGCCTTGAAAATGTCCACATTGGATGAAACACATTGACTAAAACTACATTTTTCTTATTGTCTCTTTTCTTCATATATTCATATATATATATATATATATATATATATATATATTCAGTTGTTTGGATAGGTTAGCTCTATCACTGATACTAAGTACTGTGCCTATAAAAATAAAATATATATATATATATATATATATATATATATATATATATATATATATATATATATTCGTTTGTATGGATATGAATTTGTGACCTGGGTTTCACCCCATGCGATCATCAGACAAACCCTAATGATCACAAAAGTGTGAAATCCAGGGTTGCAAACTCATATCCATACAAGGAAATATGTTAGCTTTATCACTGATATTGAGCAGCTCCCAATAAGTACCGTGAATATATATATATATATATATATATATATATCAACAGCAAGTAATGTAACTTTTGTAATGATTTATAAGGACATCCCAATCAGCAGAAGTGTTAAAAGGAGAGGTAATATCATGGATTATATATGAGGCATAAATATCAAACAAGTGTAGAAATTGTCTGGGTTGTATAGAAAGTGTGACAGAAATTTGATGTCACACAGGAATCAGGAAAGAAAACTTTTAGAAACTGAATAACTTATAAGGGAATTGGGAAAATGTTGTTAGAAACAAAAAAAAAAGAGTACTGAACTGCTATGTAATATCTAATCTCATATATGGCAGTGGAGGCTGGCCAATCTCTTCAATAATGAAGATGGAAAAGAGATGTGTTACTACCAAACAATGAAAAGCATTAAGAGATTGGATAATGCTATTAGAAACAAAGAAAAGAGTGCTGAACTGCTATGTAATGTCTTATATCAAATATGGCAGTAAATCATTGACAATTTACTCACAGATAAACAATGCTTCATCCAATAAAAATTAAGATGAAATTAAATACTAATTAAAATTAATAATATTAGTTGACAATGTTTCATCTAATCAAGTGGTTCCAAAATGGTGCATCATGGCTCATAGGTTTAGCAGATAAGGATAGCAGGTGTGGCAGAAGAGGATAGAAGGTGAGGCAGATGAGGATAGCAGGTGAGGCAGATGAGGATAGAAATTGAGGTAGAATGATTGAAAGACAATCAAAAATTTACTAACAGTTTCCAAAAATTCATATGCCAAAAATAAATATGATTTCAGAATTTAAAATATTATTATGGATTACTTGAAATGAAACAAGCATGTACCACTGGACTCTTTTGCAATATACAATCAGAAATAATATACATTCAAAAGCATTATCCATTCTTCTACCGTTCTCCATGACATTGCTGCAAACAAGAACTATTAGTTCTGACAAATATTAAAAACCAAAAAAGAGGAAGGCTTCTTTGTGTTGATGAAGAGATGAGAGTTTATCGCAAATTAAGCCGAATATAAAGAAAATTACTTGTTTTGTTATAGTGTAAATTATACACTCCGGTAACCCAAATGAACTAGGCAAGATACCTTAAATAAAGAACTTCAAGTGGGTCAGGGTCATCTGTTGGAGTCATGCAGTCTGCTTTCTGGCTTGCGACAAGACAAGACCTCTGTCTTTGGGCAGAGGGTGACAAGGCCTTCATCTTCAGGTGGAGGATGACTCAGTTGGGTTCTGTCTTCGGATAGAGACTTGGCTGAGAAAAAACAGACTAGTTTTGTACCTGAGCTACACCATTTCAGTTCTGGATTTTCAGTTCTGACAAATATCAAAAACCAAAAACAAGGAACGCCTTCTTTGTGTTGATGAGGAGATGAGAATTTGTTTATCTGTAAATAGGCCCCATTCAATGGAGATTACACGTCAAAAACAAGCTCATACCTCTCATTAAATTTGTGCACTTTAGCTTATTAAGTTACATATTTAACACACTATTAGTCATTTTTTTTTTATTTTTAAATGTATTTTTTATCACATAAAATTTGGTGAATGGAGTAAACTTTTATACTGAAAATGCGGCCCAGAAAAAAATAGTTTCAGAACCACTGATCTAAGAAAATGTCAAAAAAAGATGAGAATATTAATAAAAATTAATGATAATCATTAAAAATGCTTCATACAGTGAAAAATTAAGATGAAATGAAATTATAGTCATGATTTTATTAATATTAATAATTGATAATACTCCAACCAATAAAAATAAAAATTACGATGAAATTAAATGGTGTTCAAAATTAGTAATTACTTAAGTAAATATTATACAAAATTATTATTAGTAATAATAGTTGATAATGCTTCATCTAAGAAAAATAAAAATGGATAATACAACTACTAGAACCTATATTTAATTTGCTGACTATTGTGCAGGGCTATACATATATCATTGTCATTACTGTTCAAATATTCAATTATCTGCCATCAAACTGTGCTCACATCAAATATTTGGTTTCCATAAATGTTCAGCAATTGTCAATGAATGTCAATAGATTCAATGTTTTTCTGCATGGAGGAATTTCTACATACATTTCTACTTTGTAAGCATTTTCAAAAAAAAAAAAATGAATTCAATCTCAGTAATTACTTCTGACAATGGACCATATAAGAAAACAGAAGTCATTACTTTTGGAGTCAGTGTCTTATAATATGAGTAGTGTAGGAAAAAAGTATTGTGCAAAGAGAGACTGTGGAAAGAAGTGATGATTTTAAGGTTCAATTTGATTTTCTGTGCAGAATATGTGCACTTATAGCTCAGATCAGTTGGTGTATTCAACCAGGGTTCCTTAGACAAAAGGGTCGGAAGTTCAAATCTCACTGAAAGCCTATCATTTATTTCTGATCAGCACTGTCTGTTCACTGCTGTAGATCAATGGCTTAGGTTAAGTTGAAATAAAAAAACAACTAAGATAAAGGTAAATACTCATCACAATTCATCATAATGTTAGTTGTACTGTACAGTTTATAGTGAAAGTTTGGTTTGGTTTGTTTTATGACATATCAACCTCAATGGGTCATTTAATGCCGATAACTTTTTTTTTTTTTCAAAAATCTATTTCTGTTAATATTTTTTCCCTCAAAAATGTATAGCTGGTAATATTATTTTTTCAAAAACATACAGCTGGCTACATTATTTTTTCAAAAACATATTATCAGAGGCCTTGCTGTTGGATGTAGTTTATCGTCTTACCCAGGACACAGATGTAGTTTATTGTCATACTCAGGACGCTTTATAGAGAAAGGTGCAAGAGGTTTTGTTTGATCAGAAAGAAGGAACTAATGAAATGGATGAACTTGACTCCTCCTACCATACTCTATCTAATCAAAAATCAAGTATTGCTGCCACGTCTGGTCTGGAGCTGCCCAATCTTCACTTTTCAA